ATTTATTCCCGATATAGTCTAACTTACATCAAGATTCCTATAACCGAGTAGTTTGATAAGGCCTGGAAAATGCAAAATCATCATGATAAATATATGGTCACATGGCTCATGGAGCATATAATGCAGATTGTCTGCCGCATTTACGTTCAGCTATCACTGATATATAACGAATACTAGTTTTAAGGACAATGTAAAGCATCTCATGACCTGCCGACCATAAATACCGACTCGTTGATCGACCGAAATACAACACGTCATTATCAGCCATCAATAGACAGGCTCTTTGTAGACTACAGCTCAGTTCAAATCATCCCCTTTCACTCAAATGATGGTCAAGTGCGAGTGCGTATTTGTTTGCGTCTCATTGATAATAGGAAGTCACTGAAAGAAGACCTATAAGGGTTTTAATTATTGACAGAAACATTCCTTGATGGAAACAACGAAGCAACCGACGATCATATCGGAAAAGAAATGGGAATGTCGGTGATAACTACAAGTAAGTTTAACTGTTAAGTTATGGAGAATTAGGGTATTTCATAGCATGCGGTCAATTGATGGATGCTGGTCAACTCGGCTTGTCTGGCCCTCAACACAACATATAGCTAGGTCAAGATTAAAAACGATTTCAGTATGAAGACTGGGGTGGATAGAGAAAGCAAGAAACTTGAAAAAGGCAGCTTATCAACGTACTTGGTACCAGGAATCCTAATGTAAGTTAGACTATATCAGGAATGAATGAGCTTGTTTTTAATTTGCAATCCAATAGATTCAGTCGATAGGCTGAACACCCTAAGGGTCTGTTCAACTAGTCTTTAGCTACATTTCAGTTGCCGCCGATCTCCATTCAAAAGTAAATCTTTTAAATTGTTACCAGTCCATATGTTTGTCTCAAATCCATAGGAAATTTACGTTGAATGAGATTCGCAGGTTTCGAGAGTTCAACTAGTGAAATTTTTGGAAACCGTTGCCCGAACTAATACCGTGTGAACGATTGTCACGGTTTATAAAATTAGACTAATGTCTTCTTGTTTCAATCACAGACGAATTTGCTTAACTGCTTTTGTGTCTAAATTGTTTGACTGACTAATACTTAGATACCTATTCATAGCTCGTACAGAGCCGTATCGAGTACTCAGGCTGATTTCAGACCTGCATGTGGCTGTTCAGAACAAGTATTCACAATACGACAAGTGTAAGAACACAAAGGTATATTAGTTTTTCTGAGAGAAGTTGTCTTCCTGAACGTTAAACGACATTTGAATCTGTCGATCGTGAGATTATATTGCAGTATCAGTCATTGTAATGTGTACTGGATAAGTACTTACTTACTTACTTTCGCCTGTTACCCCCAATGGAGCATAGGCCGCCCACCAGTTTTCTCCAACCAACTCTGTCCTGGGCTTCCCTCTCCAGTTCTGTCCAATGTTTGTTCATTCCTCTCATATCTTTCTCTATTTCTCGGCGTAGTGTGTTCCTTGGCCTTCCTCTTTTCCTTTTGCCTTGAGGGTTCCATGTGAGGGCTTGTCTAGTGACGCAGTTGGGTGCTTTTCGTAGTGTATGTCCTATCCACTTCCACCGCTTCTTCCTCATTTCCTCCTCCATTGGAATCTGACTTGTTCTCTCCCACAGTTCGTTGTTGCTGATGGTGTCTGGCCAACGAATACGAAGTATTTTGCGTAGACAACTGTTAATAAACACTTGTATCTTCTGGATGATGGCTTTGGTAGTTCTCCATGTTTCCGCTCCATACAGTAGAACTGTCTTGACATTTGTATTGAAGATCCTGATTTTGGTTTTGTTTGAAAGTTGTTTGGAGTTCCAGATATTTTTCAACTGTAGAAATGCAGCCCTTGCTTTGCCAATCCGCGCCCTCACATCTGCGTCCGATCCACCTTTCTCGTCGATGATGCTGCCAAGATATGTGAAGGTGTTAACGTCCTCCAAGGTATCTCCATCAAGAGTGATTTGGTTGGTGCATGTTTTGTTGCATCGGAGAATTTTGCTTTTTCCTTTATGTATGTTGAGACCTACTGCCGCAGAGGCTGCTGCCACACTGGTCGTCTTCTCTTGCATTTGTTGTTGAGTGTGCGATAGAAGAGCAAGGTCATCTGCGAAGTCCAGATCGTCCAGCTGCGTCCTAACTGTCCAGTTGATACCGTGCTTCCCTCAAGATGTTGACGTCTTCATAATCCAGTTGATGACCAGGAGAAAGAGAAATTGTGAGAGTAAGCACCCTTGCTTGACACCGGTCTTCACCTCAAAAGAGTCTTCAGCTGACCTCCGTGCACGATTTTGCAGTTGAATCCATCATAAGAATTCCGTATGATGTTGACTATTTTCTCAGGCACACTGTAGTGTCGAAGAAGCCTCCACAGTGTTTTCCTATCCACGCTATCGAATGCTTTCTCGTAGTCGATGAAGTTGATGTATAGTAATGAGTTCCATTCAATTGATTGTTCCACAATGATCCGTAATGTAGCAATTTGGTCAGTACACGATCGATCCTTACGAAATCCAGCCTGTTGATCTCGAAGTTGGGCGTCTACGAAGTCCTTCATTCTGTTTAACAATACTCTGTTGAAGACTTTGCCTGGTATTGAAAGAAGAGTGATGCCTCTGTAGTTTTCACACTTGCTGAGATCGACTTTCTTTGGTATTTTGATGAGGTATCCTTCTTTCCAATCTGATGGTACTTGTTCCTCATCCTAAATCTTCTTGAAGAGGATGTGAAATATTTTCGCAGTTGCTTCTACATCTGCTTTGATTGCCTCTGCTGGAATGTTGTCTGGTCCTGCTGCTTTGCCGTTCTTGATTTGTCTGATGGCTATACTGATCTCCTCAATCGTAGGTGCGCCAATATTAATTGGGAGGTCCGTGGATGCTGCTTCGATGTTGGGTGGGTTCAGTGGAGCTGGTTGATTCAGGAGTTCCTTAAAGTGCTCTACCCACCTATTTCGCTGTTCGCCAGTGTTGCTGATTATTTTCCCTTCCTTGCTTTTCACTGGTCGTTCTGGTTTACGATAGTTTCCGGCCAGCTTCTTTGTTGTTTCGTACAATTGTCTCAAGTTTCCTTCTCTTGCAGCCTTTTCCGCCGTCATTGCTAGATATTCTACATATTTTCGTTTGTCAGCTCTGATGCTCTTCTTCACTTCCCTGTTTGCTTCTGTGTATTCAGCTTGTGCCTTAACTTTCTCTGCTCTTGTTCGGCTGACATTGATAGCTGCCTTCTTGTTCCTCCTTTCTTGAATTTTTTCAAGAGTACCAACAGAGATCCATTCCTTGTGATGGTGCTTCTTGCGACCAAGGACCTCCTGACATGTTGAAGTGATTGCCTCCTTAATCCCTTTCCAATTGTTCTCCAATGTTGCTTCCTCTCCATTGAGTAGATCCTGAAAGGCCTGGAACCTATTGGTGAGGGCTATCTTGAATTCGTTGAGTTTTACGGTATCCCGAAGAAAGGCTGTATTAAACTTCTGTGATGTTGTCTGCCCCGCTGTCCAGTGCTTCTTTAGCTTCAATCTCATTTTGGCGATCAGCAAGTGGTGATCTGAAGCTATATCAGCTCCTCTCCTCGTTCTCACATCCTCCATGGTCCTTCTGAACTTTTTGTTGATACAGATATGGTCAATTTGGTTTTGAGTAGTGTGGTCCGGTGAAATCCATGTGGCTTTGTGAATGCGTTTGTGCGGGAATATTGTGCCACCGATGACCAGTTTGTTGAAGGCACATAGGTTTGCAAATCTCTCACCGTTTTCGTTCCTTTCTCCCAGTCCATGTCGTCCCATGATGTCTTCATATCCAGTGTTGTCCATTCCAACTTTGGCATTCAGGTCTCCCATAAGAATCGTCAAATCCTTTGGTGAACATTTATCGACGACTGACTGCAGCCTTTCGTAGAATTGATCTTTTACGTCGTCATTGTAGTCATTGGTAGGTGCATAACATTGGATGACGTTCATTGTAATGTCCTGTTTCTTTGTTTTGAAGGATGCTTTAATGATCCTGGGTCCATGAGATTCCCATCCTATCAGTGCCTTTTGTGCATGTTTGGACATCATCAGTGCAACTCCTTGTGTATGTGAAGCGTTCTCCTCTTCATGACCAGAGTATAACAGCAGTTCCCCTGAAGCAAGTCTCAGTTGTCCTACTTGTGTCCAATGTGTTTCACTGATGCCGAGCACCTCGAGGTTGTATCTTTTCATTTCTGCCGCAACTTGAAATAGTCTTCCAGTCTCCCACAATGTACGAACGTTCCATGTACCTAAAAAAATGGTTGCTCTGTTTGTCAGAAGAGGCATCGGCCCCGTGACTTCCGAGGGAACTCGGCTTTCATCACGAGACGTCATAATTCTTCTTCCAACTCCCAGGGCAGAGTTAAAATGGTTTGAATTACTTTTTCTGGTTAGCGTTTTTTGGCAAGTGAGATTTCGACGGAATGGGGTCGCCAACCCCATGTCCAACCCTCCTCCTTTATCCGGGCTTGGGACCGGCAGTAGCCCCTAAGGTTCTACTGGCGGAGATAATAAAATAACTATGTATTATCATCGAGTTGCCCTCATATCGATTCCTACAGATGGACCCACGAAACCAGACCTATATTTTTAAGGAAAGGAAAGTGATTCATTAGGCCAATCAGAAATCAATTTAATGAAGAGTGCGCGACATTGATTAGGAAATGGACGACGTTTGTAATTTTCTAGTGTGGCCAACATGTATATGTATGAATGAATGAATAAGTGTAGTGCATAAACGCAAACTTGACTATTAAATGAAGGCTTTCATATAACTCTGAATCGTTTTACTTATATGATCAGTTGGATTAGTTAGTGCTCAGGTAGCTTGTGTATTAAGTATTGAAATGAGATACTAGAAAATGCAACACTCATCATAATAATGAAATCCAAAATAGATAAAATCAATAAAAAAACAAACAAACAAAGGTATTTATTTTCTCAGCAACATATAAAGTTAGCACTAAAGAGCATAAATCAACAACTTACATGATTTTTTGGATTTTTGTTTATTAATTAAATTTGGATTAATAATCACTTCACGATTGAAACATTTCGATGAAACATCCGAGTTAGTTTTTGATAAAGAATTAGTCTTTTCCAATGTTGATACTTTTTTCAAATTATCATTAGATAATTGTGAGGAATTGATATTTTTCACAGTTATATTGCAATATCGTGGAGAATTACTTAAGGTTTCCGTGATAGATGCACTACTACTTCTACTCTCACTACTACTTATACCAATACTACTACTATCACTAACATAATTACTATTCTCGCTACTATAATTAGTGTTAATATTGTCCGTGCTAATTGCAAGAGATTCAACATGATGATAATTATTTTTATTACTGTTATTAGTACTACTTGTAGTTGATATTGTTTTTCTTGTATTCAGTGTATTCGATTTGATTTTGTTATTTATATTATTATTATTGCCATATTTTCCATGGTGATTTTGAATACGACCAAATGTATCAGTAGAATGGTTAAATAACATTTCAGTAGATAGAATAGATGGAATAGTGCTACGATTTTCAATCCCATGATCATGTGAATTATTGCTGGACCTATGATAGGAAGGAAGAGAAATGTGAACAAAGAAGATAAAAGTCAATTTTGTGATGGAATAATACTATTTGATAAATGTATTCGAATTTATTGAATTAATCAGGCAATAAGGATCATTTTTATAGTTACTTTGATCGTTATACTTACTAAAAATCTATTATTTTAGGGACTTATATTATGCTGTGTGAGTAGTATACAGTGAATATGTAAGTCATGAGTTGTGTCGTTAATGTCAGGTGAGTTAAGAAAATGGGTAAGAAACCGTGAACCCAAGTTTTCTGCTAGTTGCTTCTCATCAGCAAAATGTATTTGCAGAATCCAAGCCTTACAAAAGATCAGTGGAGAGTTGGCGGTCACGTCATATATAGTAAAGATAAGTGACTTGAGTTCGAAAGTGAGTTCCCTTTATGGTTCCAGGAACACCTTGTTGACGAATGACAGTTGATACGAAATCTAAGCTCAGAATTTCCTATCAACTACTTGAAATCGAAATGTAATGCATAAGACGACGTTAATTCACTTGGACTAGTGATCGCAATGCAAAGCAAACGATACAGTACATTGACCATTATTTAGAAATCAATCAATAATTTGTGGTATTTGGAATTCATGATAATATAAAATGTGCCTTGGCAAATATAATTAATGAACATCTAACATAAATCATCTTACAACTAAAATGCAATGAACAATTTCCAATAAATTGGTTTATACAACTGATAAATGAGATTGTAAAACTGAAGATAAATTACTTAATGTAGAATAGATTAATTGTTTAAGATGTTTTTTTACCATGTAAACCATAAAAAAACTATCAAAAAAACTTTGTAAAAAGTTTATAGGAAGACTGTAGATTCACTACAATTTGATATTTCATACTTTTCTATATGAAACTATATGCAATTCAGTTTAAATGTTACAATTTTATACAAATAAACCCTCAAGAGCAATTTTACATTGGTTTTCAGGAGAACCAAGGGGACTGCCTACGTGTTAGCATTGCTATATGGACAGTTCGGCTCAATTTTGTGGTGCGACCACCCTGGTACCTGACACCCTGGTGGACCAGTAAGTGTTACAATTATTATAAAAATGAAATTATTTTGGAGAAATGAATACCGATTTCATAGAGCTAGTTAAGTGCACAGTTCGAATTTAAATAAGTTAGACAGTCATAATTTTATCTTACTTTAAGATTATTTTAATGTATATACAGAAAAACCTAATTAGATGAGTATGAGTGTTAGTTAAAAAATAAAAGTATTGCACAAATATGTGTCATTTCAAATTCTTAAATTACATAGAGTAGCATGACGAGATAGAATTAACTCTAAATGAATAAGCAAAGCCCGACCGTAGCTACTACCTTGACGTGGTGGTCGGGCTTGCCTATCGTGATGACCCATCCGAGCTATTTCGGCTGAAACATATGTTTCTGAAGGTTCTACCATGCCACGCAGGTCGACTGGAGAACGAAGGGATTACAAGCAGCTACTCAAGGTCTGAGGGCGAAGTTGTACTGCTGACCGCAGAGGGGTGTGACAGCGGCGATGCTGTCTTCTCACAAGGAAAGAAGAATTAGAAAAAGGTCGACCCTAAAAATGTCACACCCTACCATACCTCACGGAATTCCGTCTCCGGCGGTAACACCTATTAAACATGAGTGGATCTAATTCTTTAAATACTACCCATGAAAAGGCCGTGCGGAACCGGCCTCAAGCAGTTTTCCCTTGGGCTCTGCGGTCAAGCTCCTAGTTCTTTAAGACCAACAATAATCGGCTGAATGTACTTGTATCCCAGGGGTGATGTTCATCACGGAACTCAAACCTACTAACTTTGATTTCAAAAATCAACGTGATGGGCCATTCATCTGTTGAGTATAGAGAACCAATAATTTTTCTTGTAGTTGAACATCAACTATGGGATGTAAGTACATGCAACTGACAAGTTTCAAATAGAACAAAACACTTGTCTTGGATTTCTATGCTAGTCAAACTCCGTCTGTTTGATATAAACTTATATCCTGATGGCAATATATCGAGGTAATCTGTACACGATGCGCATACGCAAATTGAGATTGATCAAATTTCAATTAAATTATAAACGATGGGATAATAATAGACAATTAGAAATGAAAAAGGAAAAAAATTAGATAATACTTTAATCAGGTTAAGATTACCTAATCAATGATACAGGAGTGTCAGATTTACATATTCTAGCATTTTTAACTTTTAATCCAAATTCTGAAGATCTGCATACTGATAAACTATTTTTCTCTAAAGTTTTATCAGTAGGACATTCTTGTACAGTATCGCTATTTCGTAATTGTAATGATTCTTTTACAGTGGAATCTTCATCATCACTCGTGGATAATCCTACCATATGAGTTGATTTCGGTGTTGTTGTTGTTGTTGTTGCTTTTAATTGATGTTGTTTTTCTCTGTAAATTTCACCAGATTGCCAACAGATTGATTGTTTCAAGTCTAACCAATGTTGTTGTGGTCCAATAATTGAACCAGGTCGACAGACACGAATCCAACCAATCACTTCACGTGAAGTAAGTTTATAATGTTTCATTAAATAACATCCGATCAATGTACCAGTACGACCTAAACCAGCTGAATAATTATTTTTTTTGTTAGAATTTAAAATAAAAGAACAAAAAATTGGAATCCGGCATAAATGAAGTTGTTAAAAAAAATTTCAACGTTTAAAAAAGTTTTGTTAAAAAGTGAAAGTAAAACTGAAAAAATAAAAACATTAGTTCATATTGACATCGCTTCAGACTACGCAACACGGTCTAGTGAAATAAAATAATTATTATTGTTATACTTTGATATTTCATTAATCGATTCTTGCTTTCTTGAATTGTATCGTTGATACTAAGTTTTTTTCTACTATTTCTGTTACTGGTACTATTGTGATGCGAGCTACTTATAAGTAGTATAGGACGTGAGTGTCAACGTAATGTCTGGCAGCAGAAGATGGGGGAAGATCAAGAAAGGAATAGTTAGAACACAATGGAATTTGTATGAAACGCATAAAATAGTGACAATGGATTGATGTTTTGCAACAGGAACAGTCCAGTTCGATATGATGAACTTATATTTTGCAAATGAACGATTTACGATATGGTTTTCCGATTTTACTGAGTAACTCTGTAATTTTCGTTAAATACGATTCTCGTTCACTACACTATTACTGGTTGTATTATTTGAGTAGTTATCTTGGGAATTTTATTTGTCTGCCATGGATATGGCAGATCAAGTTGAACCGATTTACATATGTATCAAATTGTATGTTAGTTATTGACTATTTGATTGACTGACCAATGTAAAAGAATTAAAATAACCTATCGAAAATTGAACAGTATCAATAGACAAGTATTCATGCATTTAAACAAATCTATTAAAATAACAAAATAAACAATTCATTCTTCAGAAATATACTTTCATCGAGTAAGAAAAAATTTCCATTATCAATTTTGAAGTTATGCTCAATGCATAGTTCGTCGTTTGAAGAAGAATATACACTGAATTCGATGTATTAAAAATTATCTTTTAAAAACTGATTTTATGGACACAAGTGAATGATTTCAACTTGACAATAATTAACACTTAGCGTTAACAGAGACTGTTTTAACGACACTTTGAACAATATGACAGCCCTCTAACTCAGACCCATTTACTGAGAAATACAAATTTTTCACAGGGATTTAATTAGTAGTGAGTGACCATATAACTATGAAATTCATGAATTTTTAGTTAATTTGACCGCAAAACTGTTAAGTTAATTAATAAACTGATATGAAAAATAGTAAAGTTCGCATTTAATGAATGAGAATACTAACTAACTGAATGATGTTATATTTCAAATATATATAAAACTTATCTTTTAGGTGAATTCAAATTTATATGATCACATGAATTTTCAAAGTGAACAATATTTACAAAACACTCATTTAGAAGAAACTATGTAATAAATATACAAACATTCGGCTTTTCAATTAATTTTGCTAACATCAAGATGAAACTAATCAACTGTCAATAATTTTGCATTTAAACATATAAAAATTCTTTAGAATTCGTCACCTAGATTATATTGAAAGGAATGACAGTGAACACCAAAATTAGGTACTACATCATTTTCATTTGATTCTACCCAAAAGATATTGATTTTTTGCATTTTTTTCCATACATAAACACAATAATTTCTTGTGTATCAGTATCCTTTACAATAAAACATGCAGAAATATAGACAGTAAAATAGTAAAAATAAAATCTTAATAAATTGGTCTAGTAGTTAATCTAATTAACTGACAAAATCAACACGAATAATACGTTCAAATAATTTACATGTGATTAAAATTATTTCCTATAGAATAAATAAACTGATGAATTAGGTGAAGTGTGTGTGTGTGTGATGAACAGAAACATTATTCAGTACAGATCCTACACCTGCGTATTATTACTGATGATAAAAGAATGTTTTAAATAGTCAAGCTTAAAAAAAAACTAATCAAACTTTTATAAATATGACAAGAACTAACCTTTACAATGTACAGCAATTGCTCCGGAAACATTTTCACAAATTTCTAAAAATCTATCCATTATTTGATCAGATGGACAACTTCCATCAGTGAAGAATAAATCATAATGTGCAAAACCAGCATTTGTAAAACGTTTTGCATCGTAATTTTTTTTATTTAATCTAATTATAGTGGTTACATTACGTTTACGAAAATATGAAAAGTAAGCTTCCGGTGAATGTATAGGATAACCTATTATAAGTGAGATAAAATGAAATAACCGAATGGACGTTTTTAAAAAGAAAAGCTAAGCAAGTAAACAAATGTAGAGTAATGAAAGAAATTGTAAGGATTGTGAAATAACACTGAAACCTACAGAAATTACTCTGTGTTATGCTGCATATATATATATTCCAACTTTGGAAAACGGATCACCAAAACATGAAGTTGTGTTTTTTACAATGAATCCATGTAAATAGTAATCTAGGCGCTGATTATTCAATCGATCACTTAGAGATAGTACTCGGGGTAGTTAGCTTGCTTTTTGTCTGTGCTATAACTCTAAGCGCTTTTTTATCGTAAGATTTAATTTATTTTAGCCAAATCAACTCAACAAATTGAATAGTTAGGCTACCAAATTAGGAAGAGGAGAACTCAAGAGTTACTGGGTGGTGTAGCTTATAAAAACCAGGTAACACAAACAACTACACAATGTTTGTTAGTTAACTTTAATGAATTAAACGACTGGTCATATATAGCATAATTTAATTAAACTCATGATATCCAATTCAGCGTAAATCTAAAGAGTATAGCGTAGATTTAATTATACAAGGAATATTGACATGGCAAAGAGAAGAAATTTCAAGAAATATTTCCAAAAATTAGATTTCAATAGAAAGAGATGTTTTTCTTTTGGAGTAAATGAGAAGATGATCAAGATTTCAATAAACATTTTTACAACAATTAAACTGGACTGATATTTTGTCAAACTTTGAGTGAATTATTGATGATACCATTTAGAAAAAACAAACAGTAAACTTTTATCATAAAATAAGAATAATCATTTCATTAATTTCGTCAATAGTGTTTGAAAATATCTAAACACAATACAACAAATATGAAGCATTCATTTTGAGTTTGCCTTAATTTAAACGCATAAATATCAATCATGTTGAAATATATTTTGATCGTTAACTAATCATTGGTCGCTGTAAATTAGTTTGAGTAAAATTTGGCTTCATCAGTTTTAACTACATCATCCAAATTGACACTTGATACTTTTCAAAAAAATAATTTAATAACTTATAATACCTGCTGTATTTACACTAATACACACTTTTAAAACTTTACACTTTAATAATACTAATAAAATTGTGATATATATATATATATATATATATATATATATATATATATATATAATATGTATTGAGAAGAAACAACTGTCTAGTGCTTCCTGATTTTCGGTACCTATCTATTCAGCATCAGCCCATGATTTACTCTCTATAGAAATTCAATAACTTCCACAAACAACCAATGTTTACAATTTTATACTTTAACAATCAACATACCATTTTCTATCTTTGTTTGTGAATGTGGTCCACAAAAGGCAAGAAATTTATTTGGTATTATCCAAGAAAGATCACCATTTTCTACTTTCTGTAGAATTAATTTTAAAAAAAAGCGAGAGATATGTAGAGGTGAATAAAATGAAATGTTCGACCTACCTCAAAATGTTCATATTCTTGTAAATCAAATGTATTAAAGTCAAGAAATTTATTAAGCAGAGCCTAAAATAGAAAAATAAAAAACAAAGAAAGGAAACGATGAATGAATTTTGAAAAAAGAAAATTTTCATGTTTTATTATTTAATGATGGTTATTTTTAGAATGACACAATAATATTAACCATAATAAACGGATTATATTCTTTGTCTGTCTGGGTTGAGGATGTCTGTAACCTTTTCAATGTTTACCAAGTATTGAATATTTTTCCATTCCTGTAATAAGAGGAGGCAGATCCAGCTAACAAGTCCAATATAGTACGAAACTCAAGTTCTAGATTATATTGTTTGCCTTAATAAAAATATACAAATAAATTGTAATTAGCTCGAGTAACTTAATTAATTAAGCTCACTGACTAGCTAATTAAATGACTAGTTATCAATATCATAAAGTTTAATTCCCAGCTTCGATCAAATTATATTCGACAGTTCAAGTAAGGATTTAATGTCGCTCGGAATAGTTGGGGTCTATTATGGTAAATAAATGCCTGACTAAATTTTATCCAGTGTTAAACGACCAGGGGCAAATGATGAAAGGCCTTGGATCTGACAGTATTGTATCTTATGAAATCAATCGTAATCAATAATAACAAACAACTAAGAATATTTTTTTTTCATCAAATGCAAACTGATGATCCGATTGTAGTATCAAAAGATCATGTAACTTTGAATTACATAACTGTGTAGTTTTTATAAAGTATTAAATCGGTATTTCATAGTGTTCCATCGGTTAATCGACCAATCTCTAAGTTATCAGTATCCAATTTATTTCAACTAAATAATTATTCCTAGTAACGACTTTATTTATTGAAGGCAGTCGAACAAATACATGAAACCGATCGTTACGCGAACGCAAACAAGGCATTGGTGGTGCGTATAAGTTTCTTCTTATCAAAGTGGAAAACCACTGTCCGAGAGCATACATATAATATGATAAGTGGCATTGACTCAAAACTTTTACGGACAAAAAGAAAATATTTATCGATAATTGCTTTAAGCACTTATTTAAGTGTTTTTTTAGAATTTTCAAATTTCAATGGTACATCCAGAAATTTCATAGCATTGAACAATAGAATTATAAGAAAAAAATGACAAAAATTGATCACATCATGGTTGTTACGACTTGCAACAGATTGATTTCCATTTTGTAAATATTAAACCAGATGGATTGTGATATTGAGCTGTTAAGTCTAGTGATAGTTGCTTACTTACAGCTTGGTTGATAAAGACCGTTCAGTCATCAACGCTAAACATAAGCTTGTTACCAAACTATGGCAGCTGAGAGCGAAATAACTCAGTATTAAACATATCTGGGTGCAATAGTTAATTTCAAATCCTAGAATGAACCTCCTTAATAACTTTTGTCCAAATACATTCAAACCTCTTGACAAAACTTATCCAATAGTTTCGTGAACAAAAAATATCTGAATGATTGTTATCAAGGTTTCAAAATTATTACTCATTGAACTCATGTGTTAAGGGTTTGCATTTTGTTGATATTAAATACCGCACTTGATTAGTGTCTGAATGGATTACATTGATACTGCCATTTAGACTCATGCATCTATTGAAGTTGAACAATAGTTTACAACTGAATATACCAGTATCTCAATGTCAATGTTTATGTTAAGAGGAAATTATAACATTGCATAGAAAACGATAAAACGAAGAATAAAAATTATAGACAAATGATGGTGATGATGATAACATATTTACTGTTATTAAATTTGTACAAATTGAATAAAACTATATAGTCATTCTCAATTTTTTCCATAACTTTCAACTGGAATAACACAAAACTATAAATGTAGCCATTACCCTTTCTCTTACAAACTTCATTTATATTACGTAGCAAAATCATGATGTTCTTGATCTCTAAAGCAGTACACCAACAAAAATCAACAGAAACATTGTGTGTTTTTTTAAACAAAAACTAAACAGCTTACATTTTCAGTTAATGGTTAGAAAAAAACAAAATCCTTTTTTTCACTATGTGACAGAACAGTAATTAATCATAAAATGACTTATACTCTAGTATATATCCTTTAAAATCAATAAAGTTTGTTATACAAGAATGTCAACAGTACTTCAGAAACTGAGATGAAACCTCAATAGATTGATTAACATAGGTATTATTAAAATAGTAAAGTTGATCATTTGCCTCAAATTTCAAAGTAACAGATTTCAAATAATAAGAATCCTGAACTGACACTTGATACGAATAATTTAATACGTTTAAACATATAATACTGACTTGGTAACGAAAGTTGTATATTTCATGGTTTACTTCATGGACTGACTATGATTAAACAACCGCTAAAAAACAGGAAGCAATGAATAGTGATTTTTTTTTTCATTATGCGACTCTTTAAAATTAAACATTTACTACTTCACAAAGGATGGAACAGAAAATTTTCAAGCCAATTTGCAAGGTTTTAATATTCAAATTGTTAAATTAGTATCCAGAGCCCTGTAGATTATTTCTGGTCACTTTTTGACTGCTGAGTACAAGAGAATGAATTCGAGTTTTGTTATTATCATACCATTTCTAAACAACGAAAGGAGTATTCACTAGCTCACTGGCTAAGTTTTGGATTTATACTTTGTGATCAATACACGTATTTTAACTGTAATTTGAATTTACTGCCAAAAAATCAGTACATTCAATTCGAGGAAATCACTATTGGTAGAGTAAATGCAATTTTTTAATATGAAACTAATTATTAGTACACGGATTTGTATGTAACCTTATTGATAAAATCATGTACATTGGAAATTATCATATTACACAGGAGAATTTGCGGAGATTTTTAAATTTCATAATTTATGTCACAGACTAATCTTAATTAGATAATCAATCATTTAAAACGAATAAGCAGTAAACAACTTTTTTGTTCTAGTATCATACTTCTCAGCATCACACACAGCTTTGACTTAACCATGAATGGAAGGTAAGACATTCAGGCCACACGGTAAGTGCCGAATCTTTAGATCACTGAGTCAGCATACAACGACGTGATTAACACTTCTAAATAAACTTAATTTGCAATGTAAACTATAAAATAATATTAATTAAAAACCTAATGAAATGATGAATAGATGGATTCGAATCAACAGATTTTACAACACACCCATAGAATATCTGTCTTTAGTTTAGATTAAATCTCACAGTAATCACAGCTATCAGCACAATATACGAGAATATAACTGTAATCGTTTGAAGTTTCATACTAACTAGCTACTAATTAAAGTTATTTACATATTGCAAAATAATTGATCATGAATGTTGATGTTAGTCTAACTCAAACGCATTTAGGTGATTCTATTTAAAACGAAAAAAGGATATTTTAAAAGTCAGCGTAACATTGTTAATTTAAAATAATTTAAAACTAAGTTTTTTGCAGTTAATTTTGAAATGCTCATTATTTTGTATATCTTTATTAAAAATATATAAGACAACCGATAATATCATGACGACAATTAAAATTAATAATCAAAAAACTCTCTGAGAACTCACACAAATTTCAGGAGTATGACTAAGAACTTTGAATGAAGTTTACATGTATGACAAGTTGGTAATTGACACTTTGACACTCAACAACAACAACAACAATATTATTTACATGAAACGTAGTCTTTATGATAAGATTTTTGTTAAACATGAGTCATATGAACCAATAGGTGATTAAGAATATATTTTGTTGCCATAATACTATTTAAGATAAAAATAGAATCTTATTTAAAATATACACATTAGATTTCATTTATTCTTATAGATTTGATATATATAAAAGCCTAACCTGACTGTAGATGTTACCTTGACGTAATATTCGGGTTTGTATATTATAATAATGCGATAGAACTGTGTTGGCTGGGACGCTAATTCCGCTAGGTACTACTATTCTACACAGTTCGATTGGGGAGTGGTAAAACTAAAAGAAACTGCAGGCCCGAGTGAGAAGTTGTACTGCCAATGCATAGGGCTGTGACAATTGTAAGGTATTTTCCTTAGACAACCGAGATCTACAGTAATGTTGCCTTTTTAAAAAAGAAGGTAAATTGAAGCATGTAAAGACTCACATTCTACCTTTCCATATGAACTGCTGTTTGAAAAGAGAACAAAATCGGAAACTTATCACAATGTTGGTGTGTATGATCGGCCCCAAGCACTTATCTATCGGGCTATCTGGTCACCCCCCCCTCAGATCACCAATACCTCTACTAATCAAGTCCCCACTTGGAAAAATGCAAGACAAAGTATTCTCCCACTATATGGGGAATCAGGGGTGATAACTATAATCGAAAACTAGAAAGCAATCGGGATTACAGCCCGTATTATTGAAAGAGAATTAAAAATGAATGTGTCGTCGTGACGGATATCTCCTTCTATCTAGTTATTAAGTATCAAATACATCAGGATTGCTTATAATAACATAAGATAGTAGAAACGAATCAAGGTATTTTGTTTAACTAGGATAGTAACCGATAGTGGAATTCACGATACAGTTTTCGTCCGATCTAGGAATAGTCAGCCGGATGTGTTATTGTTTCAATATTGAAGTTCCTACTCCGACTCAAACCCTGTAACTTTCATTACAAAGGCCTCACCTGTTTGTGCAACTGGTACGCATTTTATTCGTCAGAGTTTAGATTTTTTTATTTTCGATATTAAGGACAGTCACTGATCAATATCAAGTCGCCATTATCCAACTAGAATAAAATCTCATGACGAAGTCGGAATATTACATTAATCAGCTAAAGATGTCTGTGCGTTAATAAAGATTGATCATTTGCAGTCTTTAAATAAATAAATGCTGAAAATTAATATCCAATGTATATTAGTATTCATAAGCGACAAATCAAGGATGAAGTACTTAATTAATAGAAATAAGGATAAGTAATTAGTCTGCGCATACAAATGTCAAAAACACTTTACCAACCAAATGAAACCAGTTGTAAAATTTTTAACTTACTTACTGCCAACCAATTATCCAGTAATTACTAAAT